ACTCCTGCCTCCAATTCTTGAGTGCTAGGATCCTAGGATCCTGTTCTATGTGGTACTGGGGATCAAACTAAGAGTTTTGTCCACCCTCGGCAAGCAGTCTACCACCTGAGCTACAGCCTTAGCCTTTGCTTGTTTTTCCTTATTCATTTGTTTTTTGATGCAGGGTCTCCCTTCATACCTGAGACTGGCCTTGAACTGGCTACATAGCCAAGGGGGCCTCCAACTCATCCCCCAGATTCTACCTCCTAGATTACAGATGTGCACCATCACAAAGGAGTTATGAATCTATTTCTCATTGAGCTTACTGCATGTGTGTGAGAGGACATGTACTGTACTAGGAGTTGAACCCAAAGGCTTTACAATGCTAGAAAACAGTTCTGCTTCTGAGCAGCCCCTTATCTTATTGTGTGTGTGTGTGTGTGTGTGTGCGTGTGTGTATGTGTGTGATGCATGTGGCAGACGTGTACACACATGTGAATACATGCAGGTGGTGGTGAAAGTACAACCTCAGGCAACATTCTTCAGGAGTCAGAGAAAGTATAGAAACTTCCAGAGCACCTTGAGCTACATAATGGGATCCTAGGTCAAACACCAAGGTATGTGTTTTGGGGGTGAGGGCTGAAGGTAGTTAGACATGGCGACACACAACTCTATTTCCATTACTTGGGAGGCAGAAGTTGGAGAGTTGCAAGTTTAAGGCCAGTATGGGCAACTTAATATAAACTTATCTCAACATAACATAAAAAGAGGCTGGGGATGGTGGTAAATCCCTGTAATTTTCTCATTTGCGAGGTAAAGGTAGTAAGAGGAGGTGGCCAAGGCACAAGTCTTTCTCTCAAGAAGTTAATTAATTAATTAAAATTTAAAGGGAAGAGATAGCTTAGTGATAAAGTATTTGTTCTGGGTTTGATCTTTGGGGCTATTTTTTAAAAGCTGCATGTAAATGAAATTATTCTATATTCAATGGAGCAACAAGTTAAAAGAGTCCTGAAGAAAATGCATTTGGAAAGAGACGTCAGCAGCACTGTGCTTTTAGTCCTATACAAACTCAGGCAAGACTTGGGCTCAGGTTCCTCACCTGTAAAATCAGAAAATGGGATCAGATGATCATTAGAGCCCTTCAGCAAATCTAAAATTCTATCACTAAAATCTCTTGATATTTCATTTTGAGGTTACCCAGTAAAAGATATACCTGACTTTCAACCTCGAAGAAATTTTGCAAAACAAAGTCTAGTTTTTCTATGATAAACCAGACTTACAAAAAAAAAAAAAAAGACTTGAAAAGTGGAACGTAAAACTCGGTAAGCATCCACAGAACCAACACTTTGAAAAGATAGCGGTTGATTTCTTCCCCTCAACCGAGATCACAGCCTCCATCGTGTCTGCTAGGTCCTCCACAGACAGGCAGGAAAGATGCAGCAGACTCACCACACTCCCTGTGACCACCTGCCCCACAGAAACTTGACATTCCCTGAGATACCTGATCATGGCTGCTGTTTGGGAGATGAGCCATCTCTATACTCAGAACTCCAGATGACAAAACCATCAGCCTCATCAACGAGAAAAGTCTTAGTCAAGCAGCTAAAGCCAAATGGATGAGCAAGAAGGTTCCCTATTTTAGAAAACAGATTTCCAGAGATAGACGACATTCTAATAACAAGTTTTAAGTCCTATGTTTTATATAATAATAAAATAATAATAAAGCAAAATATAATAATAAAGCATCAATAAGGGAGAGAAACTTGGATTGCAAGTTCCCCTAACAACCGGCTCACAGAAAGCTCACCAGAACTACCTCACTCTGGATGTCCTTTGTGCAAGTTCCCCTAACAACCGGCTCACAGAAAGCTCACCAGAACTACCTCACTCTGGATGTCCTTTGTGGGGAAAGATTGCAGATGAAGGCAGATGTGCACAGGGAGAGAAAGTGATCCCTAAAGAGCAATCTCTTGTTTCCGTTAGGTAAGAGCACCTCAGAAGAATAACAGGAGAGAACCGCAGCTTTGCTTTCTCTCCCAATGATCCAGATCATCTGCCCCTTGCTCTAGCCCCTCTGCCAGCTAAGGCTCAGGGGACAAACTGTGGGAATTGTTGCCAGTAATCCGTGACTCCCATTTCAGCAGAGTGACTGCTGGACCAAAGGATTCACCCAGCTAAGTGCCTCACAGATGAGAAATGCCACAGCTTCATACAAAGCCCTGCAGTTCTGTTTTCTGCAGCCAGTTACACTGCATAAAAATGGATTATAGGACAGAGCCCTCTGGGACTGAACACATTTCCTACACCCAAGCTTCACTGGAACCAGAGGGAAAGTTCTTAAAGGACAGGAGACAGACTGTGCTTCACAGCAATCAAGTCCTGCCTCCAGCAGTGAACACAGACAAGCTGGGATGAGTCCCTCCCTGCAGCTCCTGTGCACAAGAGCATGCAGACACGGAGAAATGCTCCGCTCCAGTGCTGAGTGACAGCAGACAGACACCCAGGGAAAGCAGAGCTAGCCATCCTGCTCTACAGCCCTACCCGGTCCTTCCTCGGGCATTCGGTTTCCCTGCTCCACAGCCCCCTCCCCAGTTGTTCCTCAGTGGAAATGTGACTCTCGTAAAGACATCTCACTTCTTCTCATTTCAAGCAGTGTCTCTGGAGCAGGAAAATAAGCAGGCAGGGGAGGTGAAGCCTACATGAGATTTGGGGGCATGGCTTTCCCAGCCTGGGCACATCGACTGGACAGAGGGGTCCATGGGGCAGGGCTGAAGGAAATGAGATCCTAGAGTTCTAGCGCTCCAGGCAACACTTCCGATTTTATCAGTTTCTTACAAGAAGAAAACAGACTGATTCCTACCCTGTAGGGAAAAAGAGATCTCCCCCTTGGGGCTCTGGTTTAGAAACAGCTGGTCTCTGTGTACACCCAGGTGGCTGTCTCTGGGTAGTATAAATATTCATCCCTGAAGCAAGGCTCCACTCTGCATTAGGAGGCAGCCTGGATGGTTAAACTGCTAGCTAGCCCCAGTTTGCTTTGACAGCTTAAGAGGTTAAGTAGTCTTGTACACAGAGTCCCCACTGACGGATCCTACTCTTACCATTCTGCAGAGCCCCTAATTAAGACGAGTCAAGTTCAGCTGCTGTCTAGAGTAGCCCCAGATTTGACTTCCCCAAGTGCACTCCAAACTGTTCTTACCATTCAACAGCAGTGTACTTCACTAAATGTCACTTTAAAGTCCTCTGCGTACCATGTGTCCAACCCAGGAGCCATGCGTGTCTCCTCATGTTAGTTAGCACACACTAATCACACGTCATGTCAGCATAATCTTCAGATAAACTCCCGGGAGAGGGATGGCTTGGATTAAAATTGTCAGATTTAGAAGCATGATGCTGGGGATGACTGGTTGGGACCCCAGACCTTGGCAGGGTAAAAGAGCAAAGGAAGCCTCCCTTCTCCTGTTAGAGCTGGAAAAAGCCAGAGAAGGTCACTCCTTTTAATTTTATTATTATTTTCTTTCTGCAAGATTGCCATGGTCACTGTGACAGTGAGCTGAGGTACTGGAAACTTTCTTTCCTCTGCAGCCCACCAAGCGAGCTGGATTTTCCAGGATAAACTCAGTGGACATAGCAACCAAGACAACACAGCAGTTGGCACTAATTGACTCCCTAGGTGATAACTTTTGGTAGGAGTCAGCAGAACTACTGGAAATATTCATCTTTCCTATCTAAACAGACCAGGGCTCCAGAGAATTCTCTGTCTCTGTCTCCCTCTCTCTCTCTCTCTCTCTCTCTCTCTCTCTCTCTCTCTCTCTCTCTCTCTATCTCTCTCTCTCTGTTTTCTGTCTCTGTCTCCGTCTCCCTCCCTCCCCCGCCTCTCTGCTTTCAGTATTGGAGATTGAGCCCAGAACTTCACTCATGCTAGGCAAGTGCTCTATCATTAAGGAGGCTTGGCAATTCTTAAACTGGTTCTCTGTAACCAACTAACTTGAAACACACACACACACAACTAGCTAACTCGGATTCCAGATTGAGTGCCTGTTAGATGCCAGATAGTGTTTAAAGTACTTGGCATATATAACTTAATCTTTTAGAACAACCAGTATTACCTTCATTTTACAGATAAAAAGCTGAAGCACAGACAAATTAAGTGATGCTCCCAGAGCTGAATAGCTACTAAGTAGCACAACCAGGCGCTGGCATACTGCTGAGAAACCTAATGAACACTTGAACACAAGGACACGCTTACTAGAAAAGGGGCTGCAGAAGGAAGGCATGAGATGCCACTGTTCAGACCAACATCATCTGGGAGCGACAATCTTGTCTCCTGATAAGAAGATCAGCCCGGGATGCTACAAATTAAGTCAGGGACAGGTCTTTTTAAAGTCTTACCATGGACAGTGTTCTTTGAACTGAGTCAACCAGTTAAAGGACCAGGTTGGCTCCTGTGACCATCGCCACAGAACCTGTTGGAAGATTTGGATGTAACAGGCACTGCAGAGGGAGGTCCACTCTGGAAGAGAACATCTCCCCAGGTGCTAGATGTGCTTTCCTCCTCTACAGTACTCATGGACGGCAGGTACCCCTATGTTCCTCACTGAAAAGCGCCACCTGAAGGGAGGGAGTTAGGTGGCCAGGGACGGAGTTCTTGTTGGCTGCTGCTTATGGAGTGCAAGGACCACACAATCCTAGAACTGAAGAGAGGACATAAAAGAAAGCCATGTAACCTAAGCGATAAGCTAAATGCGGAGGATAAGCACCCCGCTCAGTTCCTGCTTACAGCTGACTCTAGTTACCCCCTCCCCAAAGAACTATCGGCAATTGTTAGGCTTAGAGCACCCCCTTTCCAGTAGCTTCAGAGGACCGGTAGGTGGGGGTTTTCCTAGAGGGACAGTGACGTCCACCCAGAGCGAGTACCTCTCGCTTCCCAGAGAACCTGGAGTCTTCAGCTTTCTCTCTGCCGCAGCCTTGGACCGGAGCGCGAGCGCGGGAGGTAGCGGGGTATGCCGAGTGGCACCACTCACCTCGCTCATCCCGGCGGCCGGACGGGGCGTGGCAGGCGCAGGTGAGGCAAGTGGTCCTCAGAGATGCGTGCGTGGACCAAGACCGAGAGTTGCTGGGCTCCAGGGCAGGGGCCCTGATGTGCTCGGAGGGAAGAGTGCACGCTGCGAGCTGCTGCTTCGTGCTGCTCCAGGCGCTCTGGCTGCAGCGCTGTTCAGGGAGCCCCTTCTGACCTGGTCCTGTCAGCAGCTCCCGGCGCCTTGACCAGCTCCACCTTTTATAGAGAGCTGCGGTCCCTGCCTCCAGCCCAACCAATAGAAACTCTGCCTAGCTCAGACTGACAGCTCCTTGAACCCAGTGGTGGCAGGCTCAGAAATCTGCTGCATTTCCAAACTAGGGTAAGAGGGAGAGAGCGAGAAGGAGGGGGAGACCATGGGGGATGAGAAGACAGAAAACAAAGTAGGGAACCGGTAAAAGAAAGAGAAGTAGTAAGTAGTAGCTGAAGGAACTGAACTCTAGTCGTCTGGAAGAACAGCTAATGCTCTTGAGCCTTAGCTCAGCCTCACATGGTATGTATCTTTTAGGGGAAAAGTAGGGAAGAAGAAAAGAAACAACACAAGTAAATGCACGGACCTTCTGATAACTTTAGTTAAATGTAGTTCTGCTTATCTAGTCTTCATCTAAGGAAAGTCTTCAAATGTTCATGCCTACGGTACTTGTTGGCATTGTGAAAAATCTCTTACAGCTTCAGTCATCCAAGCCCAGATACTTTCAGCTTTCACAGATATATTGTTCGGTTGATACAGGCACAGACTGTTATAACTGTAACTGTGGCCGGTCTCAACCATTCAGTGATCTGGTCTCTTCTCCACAATGAAATTCTAAGAAGATCTCAGTCTTTTTTTTCTAACTTGACTCTGTATTTATACATTTCCTCCGTTGGGTTAGAAACAAGGAAGGTGGGGGAAAGCTCTATCTGAGATCCTCTGATTCTGTTTCTAATAGGAAGCTGGTTGCCTCAGTTACTAAAGTTCCAACTAGGCTAGCTCCTTCTCACTCTGTGCAGCCTACTCCTCTGGAATCTTTCTAATGAACAATTAATTAACATTGAAGAGGTTGTCGTTAGTGAAACAAACCTTAATTCTTGCTGCTATGAAATGATCTTTGAAACGACAAGAGTTCAGCATCTAGGTTAGGAATCAGCTAGCTTTCCAGGTAACAGTCAGATAATAAATGTGGGGTTTTCTGTAGGATCTATGTATTCTTTGCTGAGCCATCTCCTATTGTACTTGAAAACTGGCACAAACAATTATGTCAACAAATAGTTATGGGTGCATCTGATATAAATGTATTTGTGACCACTGAAGTTTGAATTTCATATAAATCTCATGGGCTACACTATGTCTTCTCTTTAAATTTTAGTGGAAGAGCTGGAGAGATGGCTCAGCAGTTAAGAGCACTTGCTGCTATTCCAGAAGTCCCATGTACAGTTCCAGAAACACATCCAGTGGCTCACAACTGTGTATGTAACTCCAGCTCCAGAGTATCTGGTGTCCTCTTCTGGCCTGCATAGGCACCTGTACAAACATGAGAACATGGCATATACTCATACATACAGTAAATACATTTTAGTGTATGTGATGATCTGTATATGCTTGGCCCAAGGAGTGGCACTATTAGGAGGTGTAGCCTTGTTGGAGTATGTGAGTCACTGTGGGCCTGGGCTTTAATACCTTCATCCTAGCTGCCTGGGAGATAGTCTTCCACTAGTAGCCTTCAGATGAAGATGTAGAACTCTCAGCTCCTCCTGCACCATACCTGCCTGGATGGGCCATGTTCCCACCTTGATGAAAATGAACTGAACCTCTGAACTGTAGGGGTGATATTTAGAAAATGGCACCCAGTCCAGCTTGTTCCCAGGCAGCCACCATGTTCCCACTGCTTCTCTCCTCTGACCAGGGCTCCGGCTAGATGCACAGACCCTGGCACCCATGAGATGCCAACGTGGGGGATGGCTCTGCCAATCCACCATGCTGTATCCACAAAGTTCGGCCCAGACAATATCTGCCATCCTTGCAGCACCCTAAGCTAATGTCAACAGGCAGCTTTTGTGGAAATTTATAAGCCTGAGTAGTCACAGACCTTGTAAATAGGTAGCCTTGGCAGACAATACCAACTTAGATAAGGACAAGTGAGTCATAGGCAGAGTCATAGTGAATTGTCCCCTGAACCTTCAGCCGATACCCGGTTCTGCAGATATCTGTATTCCCCCTGAACACCCACACTCCAGTGTCATTCCCTTCCCCACATCCTGCCTTTCTGTGTTTATAACCCCTGTGTGAATTAATTATGATTTGAGAAAAAAAAAAGAAGACTATTCACAATTACTAGAGAAAGGCTTTAAAGGTTGAAATACTTCAACCCTTAAAAAAATATATATAAAGAAATGAGACTCTTAAAGCTTAATGATTAGCTAAAGGATTTATAGATTTAGAAATGCCCAATCAACAAGATGCCCACACAATTAGAGTTGTTACCCAATATCTAACCTTTTGGTAGAAGTTGCGATCCAGGACAGCTTTCAACCCATCCATGGTTCTCCATGGCTGTTAGCCTCCTTCTTCGCCTCCCCTTCCTCTATTTCTCCCCCCCTCCCTTCCTCTTTCTCTCCCAGCTCCACCTCCTCTTCTGCTGCCTAATCACTGAGCTCTACTGCGAATATAATGTATCAGAATAAGTATCCTGCTACACCGAACCTGTAAGCCAGCTCTAATTAAATGTTGTCCTTATAAGAGTTGTCTTGGTCATGGTGTCTGTTCACAGCAGAAAAGCCCTAAGACAGAAGTTGGTACCAGAGACTGGGGTACTGCTGTGATAGGCTTGACCATGCTTTTATTTGGAAGAATGTAGATATGAGGACTTTGGATTTGGAAAGTGGTGAAATCCTTTAAGTGGAGCTTAATGGGCCACCCTAGTAGAAATATAGAAGATTTTGATGCTGAGAGTGAGTTGAATGGTGCGGACCTAGCCCAAGAGGTTTCAATGAAGAAGAATTTCAGTATATGGTATAGAAACTGTTTTTGCGATATTTTGATGAAGAATATGGCTGTTTTTTGCTATTGGCTGAAGAGTCTGCCTGAGGCTAAGGTGAAGAGATTTAAATTAATTGCTTTGAAAAGGAAGTCTCAAAACAGCCTGGTATAAATTCTGTCCTGTGGTTACTAAAGTTCACTCTTGTTTGTTTGTTTGTTTGTTTGTTTGTTTGTTTTCGAGACAGGGTTTCTCTGTACAGCCCTGGCTGTCCTGGAACTCATTCTGTAGACCAGGCTGGCCTCAAACTCAGAAATCTGCCTGCCTCTGCCTTCCAAGTACTGGGACTAAAGTCGTGCGCCACCACTGCCTGTTAAAGTTCACTCTTATGATGAACATTTTAATGAAAAGAAGCAAGCTGAGAAGGGAAAAGTACAAAATACATGGTTCAAGTATTAAAGGGGCATCAGGAAGGAAAATGGAACTGAATCCTATTTCTAGGAGATAAAAAATTGAGGGAGTAGGACTTTGAGGCAAGATCTTACCCAGCTAAGTTTAGACCCAGGCATGGTAGTGCACAATTTTAATCCCAGGAGACAGGCATGCTGAGTTCAAGGTCAATCTATAGAGCAAGATCCAAGACAGCCAAGCTTAGGCAGTGAAGGAGTTGGAAAACAGAAAGCCGGTGATGATGTAATAGAACAGGGAGGCCATGTTCCAGCTCCTGAAAGCAGCAGAACTCGGCAGCTTCATCCATATGGCTCTGGCTTTAGAGTCAAGAATAGAAGGGACTACCAGAACAGTTGATGTGGTTAGCTGGAGATAAGAAATTAGCAGTGATTAAGAAGAGACCAGCATCACTGAGGTGAAATCTTCTAGGAAATGTTTTCTGGGAGCACAAAGAAGCTGTGTTTCAGAGAAGAGATAGGCAAGGTTGTATCTTGTGCTGCAGCTGGACTTGATAATGTGTAAGAATCACCCAGGTGGTACTTGTTTTGGAGTATGAAGGGGTCATGCAGAGGAGCTGAGGCTTGACACTGTGAGAGGCCATGGAAGGCCATTGGTGAGGTGCAGCCTTAGTTGCAGTTAATGGCCCAGGACTGAAGGGGTCATACAAAGATGTTGAGGCTTGGTACCATGAAGAAAACCTATGAGAGGCTACTGGTGAAGCCTAGTTGCAGCAGAAGACCCCAGCGTATTGGAGATGCCAGTACCATGGGATGATCACCAAGAACAGCAGCAGAAGTAGAGTGGATCAGCCTGAGCTTAGAGTGCTACAAAGGGCAGAGCTGGAGAAATGACACCAGCCCTTTGGCTGATCCCAGATCATGTGTGGATCCCAGACATTGAAAAAAGATGCTCACTGGGCAGTGGTGGCGCACGCCTTTAATCCCAGCACTTGGGAGGCACAGGCAGGTGGATTTCTGAGTTCGAGGCCAGCCTGGTCTACAGAATGAGTTTCAGGACAGCCACAGCTACATAATAGAACTTCTTTTAGAAAGAAAAGAAAGAGAGAGAGAGAGAGAGAGAGAGAGAGAGAGAGAGAGAGAGAGAGAAGGGAAAAGAAAAAAACACAAGATAACAGCAAATTATTTTTCTTTTTCTTTTCTTTTTTTTTTTTTTTTTTGGTTTTTTCGAGACAGGGTATCTCTGTGTAGCCCTGGCTGTCCTGGAACTCACTCTGTAGACCAGGCTAGCCTCAAACTCTCAAACTCAGAAATCTGCTTGCCTCTGCCTCCCAAGTGCTGGGATTAAAGGAGTGGGCCACCACTGCCCGGCGACAAATTATTTTTCAATATAAGTATTTTCCTGCATAGATGTATGTATGCCTGGTGCCCAAGGAGGCCAGAAGAGGGTGCCAGATCGCTGGAGCTGGAGTTACAGGTGATTGTGAGCCCCCATGAGAACTGAACTTAGGTCCCTCTGCCAGAGTAGCAAGTATTTGTAACCATCATACAAACTCTCTAACTCTGATTTATTTTACTTTTTTGAATTATTTTTATTTTGTTTTATGTATGTAAGTGCTTATCTGTGCACTATATGTATGCCCAGTGCCCACAGAAGCCAGAAGAGGGCATTGGATTCCCTAAGACTGGAGGAGTTATGAGTCACCATGTGAGTGCTGGGAATTGAACCTGTGTCCTCTTGAAGAACAGCCAGAAATTAGACATCCTGACAGTGAAGATCAAAGTGGCCCCGAGGAACTTGATGCCCTTAATCAGCAGGAAGTAGTTTAATGACATTTTTGCCCC